GCAGGTCATGCGGTTGTCGTCCCCGTTTTGGGAGAACCGCCATCATCTTCAAGCATCCTAACCAGCTAACAAGAGAAATCGCTGAGGCATATCATATAAAGATTAGGGGTACGTAGCAAGTGCGTTAGTGAACCATCCGTCACACTGCATGAAAAAGAATTAAGTAATTTAGGCCAAGCTTGTTTATTGCCATGAGTGTGATAACGCTACCTCGGTGCACCTCGTATTCTGCACATGTTGTGATGTAGGCTGCCAGTACCTATATATATACTTTTCACCCCGTTTTTTCCAATAAACAACAGTTGTGAGTCAGCGCCATCTTTTCTTTCTGTTCTACTCCTTCCCTGTCCTGTATTTTTTCTGGTGTTGCTCTGTAAGTAAGTTCATGATGCATACATCAGTGCTGGTAATGACTGTTCAATGATTTTCTCATACTTGGCAAAAGAGAGGCTGAAGGCGGGTTGACTTCTCTCTAATTTGGCTTCTAGTACCTAGAGATACAGCATAAATAACAAAAGTGACAACGGACATCCCTGTCGAAGTCCACGTTTTATCTCTATAGGTTCAGATACATGTGCTTTCCATTTGAAAACTACCTTGTTACTTTTACTGAGATCCTTTAGAAGATTAGTTATTCCATTTTCCATATCTGGTGTGTCTAGTACCCCCCACAAGTCTTCTTTAATCACACTATCGTAAGCTACCTCCATATCTATAAATGCTAGCCACAAGAGCCGGTGATCTTTTAAGCTATCTCAATACACTGCATCAATGGAAACAGATTGTCCTCCAACCTCCTTCCTTTACGGAACCCATTTTGTAGTTCTCCCAGCACCCCCTGATTTTCCACGCATGTTTGTAGTCTTTCCATTACTATCTGCATCGCCAGCCTGTAAAATACTGATGTCACTGTTATAGGATGGTAGTTGTTTATATCGGCTTTGTCCCTCTTTCCTTTATAAATCATGCTCATCCTGCTTAGTTTTCACCCATAGGGAGCTTCAACATTCATTATTGCTCTGCTCACAGCCTCTCTTATTGTTTGCTTGGAGTTTTGTCCTAGTTTCTTTATTAACATGATTGGATGGCCGTCAGGGCGTGTTGATGCGCTATTAAGAACTCTTTTCTCTGCCATTTCCCTCTCTCGTTGTCCCAGTGGAGCCACTGGGCTAATTGGTTCATCCTTATCTGGAACGGCGCAAGCAGCATTTTCTTGGTGTTTGAATTTTTCTGGCATCATTGTTTTTGTATAATCCATTACCTCATCTTGTTCTAGTCTGACCACTTGAACTGTGATTAAAAACTTATGTTTCATGCTTGTCTTATTACTCAGAAAATTGAGATGGTTCCAAAACTATGCAGCTGCCTTTCTATCATTTTTGTTTATTTTCCCCATTATTTGAGCCCCTTTCTTCTAACCTAGTCACTGATCAAATCGGACGCTTCTCTTCTGCAGCTCAAAATGTTATCCCACTTTCTTCTGGCATCATCTACCGGTTCACCCCTCTGTTTAGCATACGTGTGTTCCCTGGAGACTTCCTGGCGTCTTACTGTGGCTCTCTTAACTTCCTCATCCCACCAGCTTTTGGGTTTGTGTCTGCTTTTCTCGGTTCATTTGACTCGTACCTTAGAAAGCTCCAACTCAAACAATCGAGTTAGCTTTGTGTACGTCCACTCTGTTTTAGTGTCCTCGGTGATTATTTTATCAATCTCTTCAGTTGTTATTTCCATTTGCCTTTCTGAATAAATGTAATCGTGTGGCTGCTCGTACTGCCACCTTTCCAATTTCATTTCTCTTCTAAAACTCAGCTTGATACGTTTGTGATCACTACCAAAACTTCTGGACCCACATTCATTAATTTTCACCACCCTTAGCCGATCATACATACTATGTGACATTATTTCTTAATATATCACCGACTGCAGCTTTCCCACCTTCCATGCTATCTGCCCTTTGCATTTCTCGGTGCTGTTGCAAATGATTAAATTATGCTTTTCACACATATCCATCTGCATTCTGCCTGTTGGGTCAGTATACCTGTCCATATCGTCTATGTGCGCATTTTTATCTCCTAATATAATTGACTCGCACTCTTCTCCCACTTCGCCAATGTCATTTTCTATGCACTGCACCACTTGTTGGTTTTCATCTCTGGCTTTTGCCCCTGTCCAGAAGTATACAATACGCAGGAGCGTCATTTACCCTGCCACTTCCCCTGTTAGCCATAAGTTTTCCTTGCACTCCTGCTTGACTCTTTGCCAATCTGTACTTTTATGAATGAATGCCCCAATATTACCCCCCTTTATGCTGCCTTCTGTTCTATCTCAATATTCCCATGCGTAGTGCGGATTGTTAAGTGGTTGTTCCATGTCCCTAAGATGTGTTTCTAAAAAACCATGTTCCATCGGCGTCTCCCCTTTAGCTGTTCTTCTATCTCTTCCCACTTCAGCATATTCCTGCCACCCTGCATGTTAATATACGCTACGTCTGAATTGTCTTAGCCCTCGTGGCTACGTCAATTTCGGCCCCGGACTCAACGTGTCTTTGATATTGGTGCCACTTTGGAATCGCATCTGTCTATGCCAAATGTCAAAGAGTCGCCCTGGTTGTTTTCCTCGTTACTAGCTATCCTGGACCCCGAGGGGCCCGCGTGCCCCCCAAAAAAGCTACTGTGCATCCTGCAAGCCACGAACCCACCTCATGACCAGCCTCCCATTGAAGTCAACTCTGTCTCGTTGAAAACCACTCCACCTATCCACCTCTGTGCTTATTTCCACCACCTCAAAGCATTTCCTTTAACTCATCTGCCATACCTCTTGGCTTGCATCGACAACCGCTCTTTGCAGGTTGCTGTCACGCACTGGTACCTTAGGTATCTGGCATATCACTACCTGTGCCTAAAGAGAAATGGCGTGCACGTCGTCGATCCCTTTCGCCAGTGTGGTCGCTAGTCCTGCTGTTTCTTCATTTAGGACATCCTTTAAACCACCTGCAATTATCACGAGGTTTCGTTCATCAGGTGTAGTATTGTGTCTTGCGCTCGCTTGCCTTATGACTGCTTCCAGCTTGCGTCCTGGGAACGTGCCTACTGCAGCCCCCTTGTCACCTCTTACACTCTGTTTAATTGCTTTTGTGCATCGATTACAATTCGAGTCTCCAGCGACTATCATGGGCTGTGAATTTTGAGCTGGACAGTCCAGCACTTTTGGGTTACTTGCACCTGTGACGCCGGCTGCTTTTTGCCCTCCTAACCCCAACACTACTTCGCTGAAGCTGTGTCTTGCGACCAATGAACCAGTCAACCTGTTTTAAACGCGAAGCATTTCTTAGCGAACTTCGGCCGCTTTGAACGTATCTATCTATCTATCTATCTATCTATCTATCTATCTATCTATCTATCTATCTATATTATCTATCTATCCATCTATATAACTAGCCGCTTAACTTTGGGTGCTCTCGTGGTGACCCACTTAACTTGGCGTGAACCAAAATCAACAAAGAAGGGTAAGATGGTTCGATAATTTTGACGCGCTGGTCAAGACATGAATAATGTCGCAATCCCATCGCGTACGTCGTCAAACATTCTCGCAGGACAGTAGCGCATACCGACGGGTGGGTATGTGCTGCTGGTATACGGGCATGCCCCACAGGTGATTGACACCTAATATCTACACAGAAATGACGACAACGCACATGGGCAATTTGAACGCGCGAGCGTTAAGAAATACCCAAGATCGGTAGGTTCGACCAGATGAATGCAAATAATAAATTTCACGGTCGCAGCAGGAATCGAACCTGACAATTCCGCGTGGCAGTGAAGCATTCTAGCACTGAGCTACGCCAGGTGTCGGAACTACTTTTCAAACAGACGCTAATCTTCGCGAAACGTCAAAAATGGTTGTGGTGCTGCCTACCCTAATTTATAAACATTACATATGTACTCCTTTGGTACAGCCGTCACGTTGGGTTAACGTCAATTATGATAAAGTGCCATTCGCTGAAGTTGATTTATGTAGCAATGTCCAGGACCAGCATTTTCGCGAGCATCAGCGCTTCATATGAGCTTCTGGTTTTGCTAACACACAAGTTCCAGTTGACATCTTTGCGCAAGTGCCAACAACTCGTTATATAAGCATCTGCGACTCCTAAACATGTGCCTGTTTTTGCAACATTTTCTATATATAGCGTCATTTCTTGACGTGTCGCTCAATAAAAAAAATTGCAACGCGGGCCCTCCGCATGCTTTGCCTAACGTCGATTCCCAGGTACGTGGGATCTTCTGGTTTTTTTCCGAGCTAGCTCGCTCTTTCTCCTCCACCATTCTGGTATCCGGAGCCCTACCATTCTCTTCGTCGGCCGCTCCTTTGTTCACCTTCGTTAGTGCCTCCTTGGTGTACCTGAGCCTTTCTTTCTTCATACCTCTCATTTTTTCTTGCTTTGTCGCCAACGCAGTCTCCAGCTCGGTGAATGTCATGAGCAGACAGACAGACAGACAGACAGACAGACAGACAGACAGACAGACAGACAGACAGACAGACAGACAGACAGACAGACAGACAGACAGACAGACAGACAGACAGACAGACAGACAGACAGACAGATGGACGCTTAACCCACTCATTAACATTCACTCGGTGGATATGCATTAAAGTTTGTGTTTTGAGAGCACAATTTCACATTTAATATTATATACCACTGTTGCTCGCTCTGATAAAATTGATGAAGTTTAGCTACGCTTCTTTTTTAGAGCCACGTGTGTTATAAATTACTTATGCAAGTAGACTGTAGCTCGTAATCTGGTCACTTGTAATTGCACAATATTCGTGTCCGACATTTCGTGTGTATCTTAAAATAGCAGCCACACAAACGTCCATGCAAGAGACAGTGACCTACGTGTAAAACTATTTGGCGTGACGTCCTCAAAGTCTGCAGACAGGCGACATACTTCTGATTTCATATATATTTATTGATAAGCATTCATATATTACCATTCGTAAAGTCATTTTTCTGTAGGTTGGCTGAGCAAAAATGCCTCCTTTCCTAAGGGAAGGCTGTCATAAGCTACCTGTGAAATTCGAGAAGAACGTGCTTTCAGGAAAATCTCCGCGAAGGCTATTAGACAGGCAAGGCCGAGGCCAGAAATGAGGACAACGAAAACACCGCCCAACTTCGGCAGGCCCAGCTCGCTGGCTGAGCCAGGCCTAGATGGACCGCCTTCCTCTGGGCAGTGCCTGCTTGGGTGGCGCAATTTCCACCATCGCTCTTTTAGCATCTGAAGCGTCCCATTCTCTTGAAGCCGCAAGATGGCTGACGAAAAGAAGCTTCGATACGGCGACCCTGTAGAAGAAGTAGTGAAATAAGTTAATGCAAGTGTTATTAGAACTGTATTATTACGTGTAGCAGTTAGCACATAGATAAGCCACATTGGCTTCCAAGGCCTACAAACTTTCAATCTACGCGCTTTTCTCACTTCACGTTGATCAGATGCATGCATATTCATAAACAATTACTAACTTTTTGTTTGAACGGGTAAAAAGGGACAGTTGACGTTTCTACACACGCTCATATAACCAAGTGCTCGAAGAAGGGCTTCACTTCATGAACACTTGGTGTTCATGAAAAGCCTAAAAGAGCTTCGAAGAAGCATTCAAGTTCGACAGCTTTAATGCTTTTTAAAGGCCTTTTAAACTGTAGAGTAATATAGTCAAACGTATTCGCTGAATGAATACTTAATTTCTAAAAGAAATAAACTCTCAGCAATTTTATTGCACCAAAACTTTCTTAGGCATCATTAATATCATTGCTGAAGTACAGCTCTTGTAGTTCAGCTCCTTTATTTACTCGCTAAAATTGGTGTTCAAGCAAGTTGGTAAAACTGAGGAAATTTATTACAAACAAAAATATTCTACAAAAATACTGGTGGTACTTTATAAAATATCACGTATCTTCGAAAGGTGGCCACTGAGTTTGATGGATGGATATTTGGGGTTTAACGTCTCAAAACCACTATATGATTATGAGAGACACCGTAGTGGAGGGCTCCGGAAATTTCGACCACCTGGGGTTCTTTACCTTGCACCCTAATCTGAGCACACGGGCCTACAACATTTCCGCCTCCATCGGAAATGCAGCCGCTGCAGCCGGGATTGGTCCCGCGACCTGCGTGTCAGCAGCCGAGTATCTTAGCCACACGACCACCGCTGCGGGGTGTCCAACGATGTACTTTCATGCTTAAATAATAAACAGAAGAATGAAGTTTGCCATCGTGCTCCTCCTTTAAGTAAATTGAAACAACCTCGTATTGCGGTATCGAGAAACAATATCTGAGGGACTGACACCTTTACAAAACAATGAAATATTTTCTATTGGTATAGAAAATAGAAATGTGTTTTCAAATATTGACCCAATAGATAGTAAGGGTTTGAGCCTAAAAGCTGATATCAATATGAGGAAGCTACTCAGTAAATAATGACAAGGAGATATACATCAGCATATCCTAAAAAGGAACATGCGACAGATTCTGTCTGGTTAGAAAGCAAGAAACATTTGAAAAGGAAAACCGAGCAATGTATTCAATGAATGTATAAAACAGGAAATTGCGACATTTTGGGTCCTACTCGGTCCCTTTCACAGGAGTGAATCTGTGGTACCGGAGAGCAACAGAGTTTACAAAGCCTTCTCTTCAAGTCAGGGACTCACCCTTGTTTTCACGGATCCTATTTGAAAACTTTTATAATATTGCAAACGCCAATATTGCTAATTAGCTTGATTCATCTCAACAGGTATCAAGTAATCACAGATATGTAAACAACTCAACCAGCATATTATATTACCTTGTGATAAATTTAAACTTTCATGAAGATGTAGCTATCAAGTAACTCACGAAATATGTAGTAGTTTTGTAGACCTAATATTTAGCTTACTTGCGATTAAGAGTTACATAATTTTTCACAGTTCAGAGTTCTGAGGGCACATATAATCCTTGACAGGTCATGAACATTTTCGACTGTTCACTAAAAGAGTAGAACGGTTGATGAATGGACTAGTTGGTATAAGTTTTGATGAATTAATTGGATTGAAAACTAACGGAACGCAAAGGCTGCGCTAGTTTGTGTCCTCCTTTGCGTCCCGTTAGTTTGTGCCCCCAATGTATCATTATGAACACTCACAGAGCACATGGAATCACAAGCATCGTATATATCCTAATTATGATAAACTCGCAAAGACACGAGACATATTGTTCAATTCTTGATTGAAATGAACACAAACAAATAAAATTTTTGCCCTTTCAATGGCGAATTGCCTTCCTACAAAACCAAACAGAAAATTTCGCCATAACAGGACTGGAGAATCAGATACATCTGCAAAAACAAAATGGACAGGCGTTCTTCGGATCTCGGCATACACTCGCCGCATCGCCAGTTCTGTCGAAACTTGAGGAATACGCTGCGCTATACATTTTAAACGTCTGTTAGGGCGTGCATAATAATTTTGATGTGAAATGCCAAAGATTCAAGACTGCTCTGCTGAATTCTGTACATGCATAATTTTCGGTCTGGTCTTTCTTGGGTTTTCATTCTGGCTCATGTTAGCTTCTGTTCCAGATTTAGGGAACACTAACGAACAGAATAGGTTGGTTTCGACTGTTAAACTGTATTGTAAAGCTTTCACTAACTTTGCTACCATATTTATAAAGAAACACTGAACACGTAGAAAACATACCTACTTTCAAGCTCATTCGAGCTAGACGCAGTACTAACATCATATTTAGCACTAACATATTCCGCACCACACTTAGTACTAACATTACATACTAATATCATAGCTTAGCCACAATGTGAACTCTTATCGGCTTCTAATGTTTGACCTGGAGAATCACATTTCATATTTATTAGATAAGAACTACTGAAATAAAAATCTTGCAAATCAAGATTTGCATGGCGTTGTAGTGCATGATGAATAGATGCACTAGTAATAATTTGTAGGGCTTACCTCCCAGAATCACAATAGCATTATGAGAGACGCTATATTGTACGGCTCCAGAATATTTGACCATCGATAGGGCCCTTTACTGCGCGCCTAATTTTTCAACTCGATCGAAAATGTGGCCGCCGTGGCCGGGATTTGACCCTACGACTTAGTGGCAGTAGTACTAAAGTTTACCGGCAACCTTGCTTCCATGTGAGAACATCGAACATAGGTGGGCGCATGTGTACCTCTGCAACCATAAGCAGGGCCCTAAGTGAACAGCGGAAGAAACCTATACGACCGAAGCTATTTGAGTAATTCACTTTTTTATATTCTAACAGTTCTCTGAAGTCTCCTCAGAAAACATGAAATACAATCACAGTGCTACTATTTGAATATTACTCACCTGGAGGAAGTGCAATACCATATCCTTTAGAGTCCAACAAACCACCAATCTGCGTCAGCTGGCACTCGCGCTGAACGACGTACTCGATGCTCGTGGACTCCATGAGAAAAGCATAGCCGCCTCTTCGCACCCGTGCAACTCCTTCGGTGTTCGACGGTGCCATATCATATCTCATGCCTTGCCACATGCGCTCGTACGTCTCGTGTTTGGATTCCTGAAAAATGGGCACAGCGGGTTACCTCTTCTGATAAACCAGTACAAATAAATATGAGAAAGGGCCTATGTCGCTCGTGGAAAGCAACGTCATAACTTGAGGAGCAACAACGGTTGTTTACTAAATCTCGATGACGCACCTAAACACCTCTAAGCAGCTGGTTACATAAACATCATAATTTCTGCAGTTGAACTATTATACTAAAAGAAATGTAAGCATGCCAACACCAGCAACTCCCTTTTGAAATCACCGTGAGAACATTCATTCGCTGCTATAGCGCGTGGTTTCGGTAAAGAGACGCATTGAGACATTGTTGTTCCTAGCAAAACACATTAGAACATTCATTCTTCAACTGCCATGGCAAATGTCACCTATCGTTTATTGAATAGACAAATTTCAAATACATAATAAAAAATGGACAATGACTGTCAGCGTCACGACAACTAACGACGAATAACAAATCACTATGAGGGGATGTTTTCAGTGCAATGGTTAAATCAGCGCGAACAACATCCACTAAAAAATACACAAACAGTGCATTGTTCGTTTGTCTGTTTCCGCTGCTTTAAGCATCTTAGGAGACTCGCTGACTAGCCTGGATGTTAACCTTTCTACCAGCACTTTGTCAGCTCAGAATAAGTTAGCTAATTAAGCACGAAATTTATCAGTAAGTTTTCTGTATGCGGTGTTGTTGTGCGACAACTAAAACATCTGAAGTGAGTGCGACGTACTCCTACGACCACTGGTACATTACACAAAATGCACGCATTCCACCCCAATGCGGAAGGACAGGTAAAATCACTAAGCATCCTGCCCTACTTTTTTCTTCCTCAGTCGTAGTGCATTTTAAACACAGGGTGCGCCTAGCGAAGTTGACTAGAAAATAAAGATGCTCACTTTACAAACGCGCTGTGAAATTTACCGATCCACTATGAACGCTTACAGCCGGAGTTTTAGCAACAGTGAAATATTTCAGGCAAAATTAAAGCTCCGACTCTTTAAAAAATTGGCTCTCCAACCACGTATGCCACATTCTATTCAATCATCGGCTTCTTCTGAAGATTGAGGTATAAGGCTTTCTTTGTATGCTGTCCGTCATAAAATCTTTATTTATTTACCCATAGCACTGTGGTCGCAAAGCGATCCATGCGCTAATAAAACAAAATAACAGACACAAACGGCGTCTGAGGCACATTGTATCTGTAGTTCGTGTTGGGGGCACCATGACCCTGCAGCCTAACCACGTCCTCCAGTGGTTAAAACTGCGTAGTATCTTTCTTCCTGCTTTCAGAAGTGCATAGGCTTTAAGAGCGCATTGTTTATAATTTGAACTGTTGCGTTGTAGACTCTGTGTATTTACGAGTAACTGACAAAAAAACAATATCCATTTGGTGTCCTCCAAATTATTGCATGCCAAGCTCAAATTTCGAATTTTGAGGGCCCGAGTGAACGTTGTAATAAATGAATGTTTTCGAGTAGGTACTATTTTAGGTTGATTTTTCCTTACTTGCCCAGGTCAGCGTTCCCAAAGTAACCTCAGCTGGTGGGCTTGCAGTCCCGAAGTTTAGTCTTCAGTCTCCCTTAAAGGCCGGTGTATTAAAGAACGTTGGAGCTAAAACTGGGAGGAAGGCCCATGGTAACATTTAACCGCAGGTATTTCCGATACCTCAAATGTACTTAGGTCATTTACGAAGATAATTAGACATCAAAACTCCAGAAATAAATTGATACTGGTCACCAGAATGACTGCAATTGTGGTCACTGACACTTGAATACAAAGTTTTTGTCGTCGCTTTAATTTTAACACATTATGGTCACAGTCACTTCAAACAATGGCAGCATATCCACGGGGTGAATGATGGAGAGTGGGGCGAAGCATCCGTCCGTACATTCGCTCTTGCTTCCATCCATCCATGCGTGCGTTTGTGTGATGGTCCGTGCGTCCATGCAACCGTGCGTGCGTGCGTCTGTTCGTGCGTCCACACGTCCATCCGTGCGTCCGTCCCTGCATTCGTCCATGCATCCGCCCCTGCGTCCATCCATGCGTCCATCCGTCCGTGCAGCCATTCGTGCGTCCGTCCATGCACCTGTCTGTGTGTCCGTTCGTCCACCTAGTCAACACTCCAAGTACCACCATCTAGCATCTTTTCATCATATATTCCGCATATAGAAGCAGCGCCATCCAGCGGACATTCCAAGGACTAAACCAGAGGTGGCACACGCACACTTTCTCACGGCTTGTGCTTCGTGTCTACTTCCTACCTTTAACCACCTTGAGTTCATGGTATATACTAGTTCACTGTATTCATTGCACTGCGGCCCAACGCTGGCTAAACCTTTCTAAAACCAATGAGGTTACGCCAAGCGTGTAAAACGTAGCAACCCTTTCTTGTCAGATAGTGCTCAATGTATACATGTCAATGGCTCTTAATCAGGAATGAGATACAGGTGAATTCAGCTTTTAGTTAACGTGCATGCTGCGAAGTTTTATTGTTCAATTATGCACAGGAAAAATCTCCCACTGGCACCACCTTGCAGGTGAACACGTAAGGCTGGTTACGCGCTACGACTACGACGAGGGACGAACGGGTGCCGCCTTAAGAAGCTACGCCCATAAAAAAAGTAAAGAAGGCTTTGGACCAGTCACGTTTGCGTAGTTCATGAGCATGGCGATGAAGACCGTAGGTAAATATGGGAGTAATGCAGCCTAGTGTAAGCCGGCCCACTTGCCTGCGTCCTGCATTCGTTTCATCTATTGAATTCCACTTTTAGCAGCATGTTCTATGCAAATGGGCTTCTCAGTGGCGCATCACCTCTAATGCTCCGTGGTAGTCGGGCAAACACTTATTTGAAGCTGTGCATCCCGCACAACTATTCATGAGCTCAGGCGCTGACATTGTGATTCTTTCTTTTTTTTATTTTAAGCGCTAAGTGTTTTTTATTCGTATATCGAAACAATATTGCTTTGTATGAGGCACAAGGTGAGCTACTCACACTGTTTTTAGGTTGCCGCACATCTATATAGGTAAACGAGCTTGTACGAAGCTTGTAGCGCAAAATTACCTCACCTGAAAAAAGGCTTGCGTCGATCCAGAGCGCACGCAACCGTATCGTATTTCTGACTGCTTCGCAAGATCTTCGACGCTCTCTATGGGCAATTTAAGACGCTCTCGGGTCAAGAATGAGGCCAAGTTTGCCGTGTAGGAGGAGACCAGCACAAATGAAAACAGCCACCACGTTGCGGAAATTATGCACGTCGATGTAGACCTGCGAGAGGTGAAGTACACAATGTGTAACACGACTTTCGTTAATAGTGTCTGATTTTGAACTTCCGAAAGACAAAATATGATTATGACGAACGTAGAGAACGACTCCGGAATTTTCGACTATCTTTGTTCTGTAGCCGGAACTAACATCACACTTTGCACAGGCCCCTACTTTTTGCCTTCCCCGAAACTCGAACGCCGCGACCGGCATTGAAACCATGGCCTCCGCGTCAGTATGAGAGCAAGCATCCTATGGGCTACACCACCGCAGTAGACTATAACGATTTTTATTAGGAAAGTGGCTCGTCGTTTAGTCTGCAAATACAAAGTGATTACACCTGCATTAAAGGAACCCTGTAAATAATAATCCACGAATATTTATTACAATCAACATAACGTCTGGCTACATGATATATGAAAAAAGTACATCTGCCTTCAGTGAAGTAATCTTTGTAAGCAACTGGAATTAAATAATTCTTAAAAAGAGGCATTACTCACTTCTCGTCACAAGAAATATTTCAAATCAAAAGCAGACAACAGTATTATTCAGAATTTCTTTTTGCTGATTCTATTAAGAGAGGAGGACGAGACAAGGACTACATGACATTTTTAGTGCAAACTCCAAACTGGTTTATTCACATCTTCTGAAGAATCAAAGTGAAAATGATTTTGATTTACTTATTGTCACAGTTCCCAACATTTCAATAAACCAGTTGTGAGTTTGCGTGTCTCCGGTCCTGCAATACCTGTCTCGTCCTCGTCTGGTAATACGAAATGTGAGAAGATATTACGAACAATCTAGCTGAATTCATCGCTCTGTTGAAAAGTGCTATTTTGATAAGATTTAAAAGACCATGACCTCCGTTATGTAACCTCATCTCTGTTTTATTTTTTTATTTTTATTTATCAACACTGCAACCTTCAAAGAGAACTTCAGAAGATTGCGTACACAATGGTTAAGAATAAAAAATAAGACAAAGTATGTAAGGCTTAACCAGACTAGTTAAGCCCGTGAAAACAGAAATCGACATTTTGCAACAAACATGCACAAAGGCATCTAACAAAATAAATAAGCACTGTACTCAAGATGACCACCAGCGTAGAATGAACACTGTGGTGACGGAAATACACAGCACTACTTCATGTAATAGAGCACACACCGTTATTGTTGAAGCTGCGTAGTAAAAGACTCAAGGCTGACTGCGAAACGACATCATTACTAAGATTATATCATTGGGTAATTGTCCTGGGGAAAAACGACTATTGTAATGCGTTATTACGGGTGGAGAAAGGAGTCAATGTGAATGCGTGCCTCCGCCGTGTGGCATGTCTAGTCTACAAATTCAGTATGCGTGATAAGTCCACATTAAAGTAACCTTGAAACTAACTGAAACAAAAATTTCAACTCAACACAGTTTTCTCTCTGTTCGAGTTGGGAGGTTGGCTTTTGCTAAAGAACTTGATATTGAAGTACGGGCAAAACTGTTATAAATAAATCAAACAGCGCTCTTATGGATTTTTTTCCTTTTCGTTGATATTGGTTTTAGTGTGAGTGTACCGATGCATACTCTAGAGTAGGCAGAACAATAGCCTTGAATGCAGTAAGGCGAACGGCGGGAGTTGAAAGCTTGAGAGCTCGTTTTAGATGAAAGAGTTTGTAATTGCACGTGCTTATTACAGTTTTTATATGTTTTGTCCATGTTTTGCCATGTGAAATACAAAGACTAAGCTACTTGTATTGTTGTACTTCGTCCAAGTAAATATCATTCGCGGAATATGTGAAATGAAGAAGGTTAAATTTATGAGAAATTTTCATAAAAATGTTTTTTTTAAATGAATTGACACCTGCCACTTATCGCACCAACGCACGACCTTATTAAGTGCATCGTACAAATAAATTTGGTCTGTTTCATTTTCCATCTCTGTGTACAGGATGCAGTCATCAGCATATAATTTAGCAATGCAGCTGTCATTGTCATGATTAGAGGCGAATACTCACCTCGGTAAAGGCTCGCACCCTTGTTGCATGATGGAGCTTATCGTGAACCACAAGCTGTTCAGCAAGGTCAGACGATTCTTCACAATATCTGTCGAGTCTACGCTTTCATAACCGCTGCTTTTTCTGCAGTCAAGATGCGTAATGAGGCTGTTGGAATAATCTGTCACGTTAATGACGTCTACATGGGCAGATTCACACACTTTTTCTCCGACGCAGTCATGGCTACAATAGGCTGGTGTTTTTTGGCATTCGCAGCAGTAGTGTGTCTGAGCAGCTGTGCTGCGTCTCCACCGGAAAGTTTGCACACGAGTCACCCAGCACAGTAATAGGCCTATCACCACGTGTGCAGCTGCAACACATAACCACACATCAAATGATAGGGGTGAGAGAAAGAAAAGAAGAGAGTGTTCCTCTTGGTTCTTTCTGAACAGAATGCTCACTCCAAGCGTCATAAAAGGAAGCGTGAAATCCACGGCTTCTTCTCGCGATGACGTAATGGTTATGTCGCCCACCGCCAGGTCCGCTTCCTAAAAGAAGGAAGAGATGTAAGGGATATATTGCCACCAGCAACACGCAGAAAATAAAAAAATGAAAGCAAACTCCACTAATTTTTTAACCAATGTGGTCTTTTACGGCGAGATAATCCATCAACAGCAAATATACGCGATCACAACGCGTTCATGCGGCTTTCGTGAGATAACAAAAGCGCGCAAAGAGGCTGCTTTTTTGTTCGCGTCAATATTCTTTCATGCAATGCCAAATAAGTCACCTTCGTTTTCGGAAAGCTTCAACAAGGTGAATATTATTCAACTCTGCATAAAATGCAACATCATGCGCACTATAATTGTGTAGCCTTAACCAAGCACACTGACAGGTTTACGTCCCATGCTTTAACTCCTGTTGCTGATATGCGCTAGCCAGATCAAATTTATGAATGTCACTTGGATGGCATGCCAACGTATTCTTTATTTTTTATTGTGACAGCAATTGTATGGACGCTCTCGACTTAATTTTGCCGCCAGCGTAGGCGTCGCCATCACTCACCGTATATGTATACGTACCGATAAATATAAAAAAACGAAAGAGAAAAAATCTAGAGAAAGACTCTGGCGCACAGAATTGAACGTGAGACCTCCACGTCGTTAATGCGAGGCGTTAGCCACTGAGCCATCAACGGGCTGTTTTTTCTTTCTTTATTGCCTGTGTACATACAAAATTCACAAACAAATATACATCAAAAAAGGAGAAACATGAAACAAAGAAAAGAGGTAAAAAGCGTCACACTTAACAGGATTTTTAAATTTTCTTCATATGTAGAAAGCTTTCTACTTGATGAAGCCATTCGGGCACCTTTTGTTGAACCTTTTGTGATTCCACGAACGAACAGACCGATTGAAAGAAGTATTGCCTAACCGGACGTGATTAACATCAGCATGGCGCACCGCCATTCTGGATTGCTATATACCGTGCAGGCCCAGTAATATAACTAGGTCGAAAGGTATTCCTTCTTCATTTGATACTGGTAGAAATCTGATGCCATAGGCATTGAGAGGCAGATCCTTTTTCAAAGTCCTTTGGAGAACATCCCAGAACAATACTGCATCCCAGCATTCTAGGAAAACATAATCGATTGTTTCCGGCTTTTTTCAGAGAAGGCAATCAACACCCCAAGGAACAAACAAGCCTTTTTCTTGCATCCATGTTTTCACGGGCAAGGTTCCAGTGTGCAACCTAAAGAAAAAGGGTTTCGCTCCAGGTGATACCTCCACATTTTTTTACTCGCTTGCCTAAAAGATTTTGGCCTGGGCCTACACGGTATAATGTTCTATATAGGGAAACAGGAAGAACTGTTTCTACTAAATTTTTGTATTACTTTTTACGCGAAACCATACTGAAGTACTACGATGAAAAATGTGTTTTTTAGAAAAAGACATGAATCAACAACTTCTTTTAGGAAACCTCTAATGCTTGCTTTCATGTGACCACATGCTACCACAAATTCTGGCAACCGTCTTTCAAGCCTAAGCTGTAAAACAGTATGTTTGAATGGGTCTCGATTATTTCGGAAAAACATAAACCGATTAACTAACTGACGAAGGTACAAATGACATAGACCGAGTCCACCAGAGCAAACCCATCGGAATAAGTCAGTTCTACTTGTTCGCTCCCAAGAAGAACCCCACAAGGAAACAGCAAACATTCGATGAAGCTTTTGTAGATTCATACGTGAACATTGCAATACCTGAAGGACATACCAGAGCTTACCGACTAAAAATACCTTACAAAAGGCCACTCAGGGGAAAATTGATAGCTGGAAACCTTTGAGTTGTTCAGCTTTTTCTCGTAGCTCCACGGCCTGACGCCGCCAGTACGGTTCACTGTCACAATATTATTTAATGGCACACCTAGGTATCGTACCGGAGTAGAAGTCCATGAAATACCAACCACAAATTGTGGAGTCACAGGCCATTCGCCGTGCCAGTAACCCAAGCACTTGGTCCAGTTTACCAAACTACCACTTGTATTACAATAAAAGTTCACAATTTTTATGGTTTCAGCGATTCTATCGTAATCTTTACAAAACACAGCTATATCACCGGCGTGTGCCAGTACCCGTACTTCAGCTTTTTGTAGTTTGCACCCTACTATGTTACTGCTTTTCGTGAGTTTTTGGCGAAATGACTCTATATAAATTGAAAATAGGAGGGAAGACAAAGGGCAGCTTTGTCGTACAGAACGTCTGACATTAATTCGTTTCCTAAGAACTTTGTTGATGACTAGCAGAGTTTTACATCCAGTATATGCCTTAAGAACTGTATCTCTAATTACTTTGCTAACATTGACATAGTCTATCAAACGAAAAAAAACATCGTGAGGTACGACGTCAAATGCTTTTTCCAAATCTATCTGGATCATCCCGATGTGATCATTTGTGGCATCGCAGTACTCTAATACACTTCGGGCCTTGTGAATGTTTGTGAATATAGTGCACCCTTTAATTCCACATGTCTGGTGGTCATCTACAATGCTTTTAACTACTGTCTGCAGTCTCCTTGCTAGCACTTTCTTCAAATTCTTGTAGTCGATATATGATAGACTGATTGGCCTGTACGATTTCACTTCACGTAATATAACTGCGTCTTCAGTTTTCGGAATTAACATAGTATGAGATAGCAGAAAAGAAGTTGGCAGAATCTTTATGTCTAAAGCTTCGTTACAAACCGCTGCTAGGATCTACGCTAGTTCGTGTTTGATTTTCTTATAAATTGCGGCTGTTAACCCATCAGGTCCCGAGACTTTCCCAAATAGAGGGCAATAATTGCTTTTGTCACTTCCGGTTCAGAAATAGGACATTTTAAGCTTTCTTTCCTGCAGTCTTCAACCTTTTGCATTAATTCTAGAATTTCACTCTTGAATTCTTCTATATTTACTTTACTTTTATCAAATAAAGTAGTGTAGTACTTGTTGAAGGCATCCTCTATATACCTCTGTTAACTTGTAACGTTACCTATGTATTCAATCTGATGTATAGCTTTCCGCTGAGCATTTAGTTTTTCGAGACCAAGCATTCTTTTGGTCGGTTTGTCTCCTACCGTCATGGAGAGACGCCTTAGACATGATGCAGAGCAGCAGCACACCCACTCGCTCCTGCATATGGAAGAGGCAGCGTTGAACCCCTAATTCTGGATATCTTCAATCGCCCTTGTCGACGACTGGAACCACCCCAGCACTCAATACAATTAGCCCCCGACTACAGTACACGAAATATTTTTGGTGAGCGAGCTTTTCCTGACCCAGGTGATAGAGACGCTAACCGAAATGACGAACTCGCACTGCTCGCGCCGCCCGACGCTGGCGTGGCGGCTGCCACAACAGCTGCTCCTTGCCGCGACGCCGGTGCCACCCAACTCCATCTGACTCGCCCACGTTGAGCCCTACCTTCAGAAATCGCAGCAGTGTTAACCATGGAAGTGCTCGAAGTCGAAGGAACTGAGATCGCCCCTGAAGACGCCACCCTCGAAGCCGGATGGATCTCTAGCCATCGAAACAAGCAACGCAAGCATGCCTCGAACGTTCCGGCATTGCCAACTGGCCAGGGAAGCACGTCCGATACCCCAATGCTGAACGAATCTGCCCAGCGTCTCCCTCGTAAATTCAGGCAACCGCGTCTGCCAGATGATCACGTTAAAGTTGTGATTCGCCCGAGGGACGGCCTCAATCTCTCCAAAGTGGGGGAAGCACAACTGCGCGATGCTATTCTACGCGAAGTGGATCTGCACGCAACGCTACTCAAAGAGGACATTTACCGCACATGCGTTGAAGCTAATCTCATCGTAGTAAGCACACCTCATCTATCCAACGCAGAAATTTACAGTCGGATCTCCAAACTACAGGTGGAAACTGAAACCTATGACGTTCGAGCCTATGTTACTTCCCCTGAGAACACAGCAAAGGGAGTGATCCACAATATTCTCCCCTACGACTCTCCTGAAGACATCTCAGCAAGTCTTGTTAATGACCTCAACCCCACGATACTACAAGCTCACCGAATGGGAAAGATAAACACGGTACTCATTGTATTCGATGGTGACCAAGTCCCTTTCCACGTCTACTATCGAGGAGCCGAATACAAATGTTACCTACATAAGAAGCGCACCGAAGTCTGCGACAAATGCGGGGCAGTCGGCCACCGCTCGGATGTCTGCCCCAAACCAAATGCCGTAATCTGCACGCTGTGTGGCACAGCCAACCCTGCTAGTGCTCATTCATGTACCCTTAAGTGTCTTCTATGCGGCCAAGCCCACCAGACAGGTGACAAAACCTGTCCTCAATGCTATCAGACACCTCGTCTTCTGATTTATTGTCGCTAAGAAAAAGCTAAGCTCTTACAACAACAGCACCTCTCAACCATGATTTCCACGCAAGATGCTCATCCGGAACGCCAAGAGGTGAAGCCTAGCGACAGCCGCTCCCGCAGTACCAGTCCAACCTCGAAGCGTCATGGCTCACGCAGCCGATCAAAGCAGCGACGCAAGAATCAGCCCCAGGAGCTCCGATTGCGATCTGCGGCACCCGAGGCTTCGGATGGTCCCCCCCTTCAGCAGCGGCAACCAAGTCTCACCCTCGCCACCCCTACGGTAAGCTGGGCTAGCATTGCCTCCCAACCTGCTCCTATGCATAATACAGCACCTACAAGTACACACACGACCACACCTAATAAGGAAACCATGTTAAGTACTATCACACAGGAGCTGCGCTCACTCCGTACGTTAGTACAAGAACTTCGCGTTGAAAACGCTGCTCTTCGAAAACAACTTGCCCAGCAACCTTCGTCCTCTTTTTTGATTCACTCTGCTGACCTCCACGCCAACACCACCCCCCTACCCCCTAAACAAAAGGCTCCAGACACAGAAGAACCAGCCACACCGTCGTCGCAACCACCTACCGCCTCAGCACCCATTTTGCCTGTAGAATCTGTACCGCAGCAGCAACTCCACGAGACGATTCAAACCGTACTTGAACGGCA